TTGAAAAACCTGGAGAGGGCGCCTGGGTGGCTCAGTTGGTTGGGAGTCCGACTCTTGATTTTGGCTCAGGTCATGATCTAGGGGTCGTGGGATCGAGCCCCACATCAGGCTCTATGTCAGCAGGGAGTCTGCTTGAGATTCTCTCTCTCCTTCTCCCTCATGCTCGTACTCTCTCCAAAATAAATAAATAAAATATTTTAAAGAGCTGGAGATTATACATGAAAATCTGTATTTGGAGCTTTTCTAGAAAAATGGGAAGATTTGGTGATAGCAGAACCCCCATACTTCCTATGCCTACATTCATACATTCATTCACCATTTATTGAGCACGTATTGTGTGCCTGGCACTATTCCATGCACTTGGGGCTCCATCACTGAGCCAAATAGCAACACTGTCCTATGGGAGCTTATGCTCTCACAAAAGGAGCCGAGAATGAGCAAGAAATAGAACAGAGACATAAATTATACAATACTGGAGCAGAAGATAGGACTCTAAAAGTCTCATAGGTAGGGAGGTAGGGATCTCACGGGTTGGAGATGGTAATTTTTTTGAGAGAGAGCACATGAAGAGGTGGGGCGAAGGACAGAGGAAGAAATAGAGAATCCTAAGCAGACTCCACGCACAGTGCAGAGCCCAACTTGGGGCTCAGTCTCACGATTCCAAGATCACGACTTGAGCCGAAATCCAGAGTCAGAAGCTCAACCCACTGAGCCATCCAGGCACCCCCAGGGTTGGGGGGTGGGTTACAATTTTAATTATAAATTGATTTCATCAAATCTTGAAGGCATTTAACTGCCTGATAGAACTACAAGGCAAATCACATCCATAGTTCCAAATGTTCTGGTATCCAGTGAGAGTGAAAAGAAATAGGTAAAATGAATGTTAATAATTTATTTAGCCAATATCTCCAAAATATTAGTCAATACACAATCAATATAAAAATTACTAATGAGGGGCACCTGGGTGGCTCAGTGGGTTAAAGCTTCTGCCTTCAGCTCAGGTCATGATCCCAGGGTCCTGGGATCAAGCCCCATATCGGGCTCTCTGTTCATTGGGGAGCCTGCTTTCCCCTCTCTCTCTCTGCCTGCTTCTCTGCCTACTTGTGATCTCTGTCTGTCAAATAAATAAATAAAATCTTTAAAAAAAATTACTAATGAGATATTCGCTCTCTCTCTCTCTCTCTCTCTCTCTCTATATATATATATATATGTTTTGTACTAAGTCTTCAAAATTCAGTATTCTGCATTGCGATGTAGTGCACACATCTCAGTTTGGACTAGTACACTCAGATGCTCAACAGCCACACATGCCTAGTGGCTACTGTATTTGACAGCGCCAGTCCAGAGTCTCTTGTGAAAATGCAGACAGCCCAGATTGCCTGGTAGCTCAGTGGGTTAGGCATTTGCCTTGGGCTCAGGTCATGATTCTGGGGTCCTGGGATCAAGCCCCACATCGGAGAGAATCTGCTTCTTCCTCTCCCCCTCATCCCACTCGTGCTCTCTCCCTTCCTCACTCTCTCAAATGAATAAAATCATGAAAGAAAGAGAGAGAGAGAGAAAAGAAAGAGGAAAAAAAGGAGGGAGGGTGGGAGAGAGGAAGGATGGAAGGAAGAAATGCAGACAAGCCCTATGGGAAGGACAAGGACAGACCACAGCTCAGGGCCAGCCCCTCATCTTACAGCTGGAAGATCTGAGCTCCAGGAGGGGACAGCAGCTGCTTTAGGTTCACACTGCAGGTGCCTGGGGACAGGATCCTAGGACTCCTCACCCTTAGCTTTGCCCCAAGCAGCCTCTCTGCTCAATCTCCTGGCTTGCTAGATCTGCCCTGCTTGTCCTCTTTTGACTACGGAGCTCCCGGCTGTCCTGGGAGAGAGAAAGTCCTTGCCCTTTAAACCCAGGCGTAGTTGATTTTCTTGGGAAATTCTAAAGGACTGGTTATCAGGAGCCTCCCACGACAGGCAGTCCTCCAGACTAGACTCTAGATAAATATCAAACCTCCGCCCTGCCCCTAGGTGTCCTCCTCTGCAGAGCGGGGATAATGGGTACTTGGCCTATCTCCTAAGGCAATAATGGAGAGCAAATAATTGAAGGCTGTCGGGGCGCTGGGGTGACGTGGTCAGTGATAGCATCTGACTCCTGGTTTCAGCCCAGGTCTTGATTTCAGGGTCCTGGGATTGCGTGCTACCTCGGCCTCTGCTCAGCACGGAATCTTCTTGTCCCTCTCTCTGTGTTCCTCCCCCTGCCAAATAAATACATTTCCCAACTCTTAGACTAGGCAACTTAAGGAACGTCTCATACTCCCTGGACCCTCCTACACACTGAAGCGTAAAACCCAACATCCTTTCCAGTGGCTTCTGAAGCCACCCTCAGGACCTCACGTCCTGCCCCACCCCCGAGGCCCAAGGCTCTACCGCCCTGTCTTCACCCAAGGCCTCTGCTCAAACAGCAGCTCCTCCAAGAAGCTTTCCTTAACCCACCCAGCAAGCTAAAAGCACCCCAGCACCCCCACCCCAGTCCCTGTTGCTTTTTCTTAGCACTGCCCGTCACCTGGCGTGGCCTACATGTGTTTCTTTACACAGTCAGTCCTAGCACGTCAGTTCTGGACAAGGACCTTGGCTGCCCTGAACTCTCACATCCCCAGCACCTACCTACACATAAAATAGCAACTACCATTTACTGAGCACGTACTACGTGCCAGGCATAGTTCTAAGTATTTTACAGACAGTAACTCAAGTAATCCCTTACTCTGAGGGAGGTACGATTTTAATCCTAATATTTTAGCAGATAAGGAGGCTGAGGCACAGAGAAGTTAATTAACAACCCCCCAACCCAGGTCACACCAGAAGTGGTCACACCTGGGCACACAGGTTTCGGGGGGGACCCCCAAGTCTTGACTTCTGTGTTAGTGCGCCAGAGCGCCCCACAGCAATGATGACGGCATGAAGATTACACGGAGAAGAATGACAGTCACCATGAGCCCCGCTCCCCACCCCCCGCACTGGCCCCGCTTCAGCCAAACCACTTGTTCCATCATGTTAACAAAGAAAAAGAGGCAGGAGGGGCTGCATGTGGCCCATTTTACCCCATCAGACAGGTGGCTGCCCTCAGTCGCTCCAAATTTACCCCCTCTGATATTGTGGTTTAATTCTTTTTTTTTTTAAGATTTTTATTTATTTATTTATTCATTTGAAAGACAGAGAGAGCACAAACAGGGGGAGAGGCAGAGGGAGAGGGAGAAGCAGACTCCCCACTGAGCTGGGAGCCTAACACAGGGCTCGATCCCAGGACCCCTGGGCTCACGACGTGAGCGGAAGGCAGACACCTAACCATCTGAGCCACCCAGGCGCCCTGATCTTGTGATTTACAATAAGAACTACCTATTTGGTCTCCATCCTCTGTTTCTGGCCCTTAAAACGCTTCAAATTTCCTAACTGATCAAAGCAATGGGAGCATCTTTTGTTCTAATGTTGGGCCCTGTGTACTCAGTTCGGGAAAGAGCTTAAGTCACAAAGATGAAAGGAGTGTCTTGTTATTCCCGACAAGCCCATTCCAACCACAGCTGACTGGATGTTACTGGGGTAACTGGAGGAAAGCTGCTGAGCATGGGGGCTGGTTGCCAAGGAAACCAACCATGGGATCAGAAGGAGGGAACCCCTCACCTGCACCTCTGGGCTTGGGAGAGGGGCTGGAGGTTGACTCCATCACCAATGGCCAATGAGTTCATGGGCCACGCCCATCTAATGAAGCCTCCATAAAGACCCAAGAGGACAGGCTTCGGCCAGCTTCTGCATTGGTGGCCACGTGAAGAAGCTGGGAGGGCGGCCGATGTAGGGGACCGTGGAAGCTCCAGCCCATTCCCACGGAAACCTTGCCTTATGCATCTCTTCCTGCAGGTCGTTCCTGAGTTTGAGTTACAGGCTTTGTAAGAAACCGGTAATCTAGTGAGTAAACAGGTGTCCGGAGTTCCATAGGCCGCTCTACAGATTAATGGAACCGAAGGCGAGGGCTCGTGGGAACCTCTGGTTTATAGCTGGGGAGCCTGAAGCACAGGTGAGACCACTTGCCCAGGTGACTGGTGTCTGAAGTGGGGGGCGGGCTAGTGGGGCTGAGCCCCTCACCTGCCAGGTCCCGTGCTCCCGCCAGGTAGAGCATCAGAATGGAGTTCGTTTTGGAGGGCGCCTCGCCGGTGTCTGTGGAGAACTGGGGAATTGCCGGGTGGTGTGGAAAACACTCCAGACCCTCTCTGGTTGATGTCCTGTCTGTGTCTGTCTCCTGCCTCAGCCGCTGAGCTGAGTAGTCACAGAACCGTTATGAGTCCCCAAGCCTGAAATACGTACTATGCAGCTCTGTACGGGAGGTCTGCCAGCCCTGCTCTAGGGTACTGGTAGGGGAGAGGGCAGGGCTGTGGGAGGAGAGGTCCAGGAAATCACCGAGAACGAGGAGCGTCGTGCTGAGGGAGTGACCCAGGAAAAAGGGTGAGTGACCCAGGGGTTGGCTTAGTGAATTCAAGGGCCAGCGTCTCTTCTCTCCCTCCTGGCCTTTACATGAACCCCCTTTGCCTGCAACCTCTCCCCATCCTTCGTTCTGGAAAACTGCTCCTGCCTCAGAAACAGGTCAAAGGTCACATCCAGAACTATCCCCTGGCTGGGGGGCAGAGGCTCACCCCCTAAGTGAGAAGGGGTGCTGCATGTGAACAAGGAGATCTGTAGAGACCCCGGCTCACCCCAAGAGCAGTGCCTCACCCCAAGAGCCGATGACACTGAGGGACAGGGCTGATGAGGGCATAGTCAGAGGCCGGCGGGGGGATTCCGGTCCCGAGGGAGTGGCCAAGCTCTCGGCAAAGCTCAGCTGTGCTTTGGGGGAGCTTGCGGGGTCCGGGCAAAGCACGGGCCAGTCAGCCCCGTGGCCAGGACTCAATCTCTCCCTACACATGGGCGGCAGGCAAGTAGGACCACTGGGGAACCCCAGCTCAGACCCGAAGCCAGAGCCAGGAGCCCATGTGTAAAACAAACAGGAGGTTTATTTAGAAGCGGGAGTGCTGTCCAGTATATACAGTACAAACTCTGTCTTGGGATCCACACCAGCCTGGGAACTGAGGCCACATCCAGAACGGGCCTCCTTGCAATTCAGAGCTGCCCTGGAACAGAGCAGGGAGGCTGAGGTCATCCCAGGGTGGTCCACCAGGGGGCAGACACGCTCCATCGCTGCCCGGCGTCCAGCACCGGCGGGGAGCCTGGCCAGTCCGGGCTCCCAGGGAATCCTGATTTCAAGGAAGCTTTTACTTTCTCTTCATGGTAAAGGCTGGACTCTCCCAACCCCCAAAAGTTCAGCTGCCAAGTCCAAGTCCAGTGGTCTTCTTTGGCAAGAGATCCAAGTACCTGGGACCCAACTGGCTTCTCCAGGAGTCCCCTGCTCCTTCCAGAATCCGGTGAGGGCCGTACGCCATGCTCTGCGGGACTCTGGGCACGGCCTGGGGGGAGCGGACGGACTCTTCAATGGAGAAGAATCCTTTGACAAAATTACTGATTTCAGGTGCCTCGGGCAGGCCGTTCAACCCAACAACATGGCTACACAGACCAGCCACGCACGACAGACACACGGACGCAAGGCTGGCTCTCAGCACCCCATGTCCACCTGAGATCACAGCAGGCACAATACCCAAGTGGTCCCGTGCTTTCCCTGGGGCCTGGGACTCCAGGAACAGCGAGGGGGGCCGAGGCGAAGAGGAGCCCCTCCTCGGGAGGCAGAGCAAGGCCCATGAGGTAGGAGGAGAGACGGCTGTGGGCCTCAGGCATCTCCGGGCCCTGAAATTCCCTGACCGGGGTGGCCTCGCACAAACTCAAAGTCTGGCTTTGTCCCTTCCTTGGCTTGTTGGCCTGCGTGGCGCTTTTTTTTTTTTTTTAACCGCCCCATGCTGAAGTTGGCAGATTTTCCGCTAGAGGTTTGCCATCTTGCCCGAACTACAGGACTCACATAGGTTGCTTAGCTGGGCTCTCTGGGGGTCTGATTCTCCCACCATTGTGCAAGAGGTGAAGCTGGCAGGAATGGATCTGGAGGTGGTACCAGCGAACGTAGGGAGGCGGGGGGACCCCGGTCCCCTGCAGGCATTGCCACCCCCTCCCTGCACAGGACCATCCGATCGATGACACCCACCCCCGCACCGTCCGGCCCCCGCTGGGACCATCCTGCCGTCTCAGCACTCAAGGCCCAAGCACTGCTCCTTTTCCACGGCCCCTTCTCCAGGGATGACTCACGCAGCGTCCCTCCTCCCCAGAAGCCCCCCTGGAAGGCAGGATGCTGGGGCCTCCCAGGGAGCCAGAGCTGGGCAGAGCCCAGGGATCAGAAACAAAATAAGGGCTCCAGAAGCCCAACTCGCAGGACCAGCTGGGGGGCAGCTCTCAGAGCGGCGGGGGCTGGCCCCAGGCTGGCCGGCGCGTCCGTGTCCAGCGAGCCTTCTGAGAAGGACACACACCGTGACAGGAGCGATTTTCCACAATTCTCCTTCTGCCAGTCGACGAGAGGAATTCTGAGGCTGTGGTGGCTACTAAAGGAATTTGGCCCAGAGAGAGCCAGAGTCCTGCGGGGTGGGAGGCCCAGGAGGACCAGGGAAGAGCCCACCGTGGCTGAGACGTGACTCCCACCAGTCTGGCTAACTGGGCTTCATCCCAGCGTCAGGCACACCAAGGGGCAGTGGCTTGTCCTCTGGGCTCGCCAGCAGAGTCTCTGGGGCCCCCGGCTGGGACTGAAAAGGGCATTCTTCCTTGGAGAAAGGGACCTGCTCGTCATCTGGGGAAACGGAGGGGCTGGCGCCCACGTTCCCCTTCGTGTAACTGGCCTGTGAGGCGCACTGAGAGGCGTGGTCGGAGCCGCTGCACACATTCACGATGCAGGTGACATTGACCTGGGTCCCGTGGCCACCGGAGGAAGTCTCTGCTGAACAGAAGACGGGAGAGGGGCAGTCAGTAGGGATTCCTGGAGTGAAGGAGGTCGGCCCGGCCCGTCTGCTGCCCAAGAGACACATTAAGACAAAAGGGTCAAGAAGAGCGCGGAGCCGGGAGCCTGGAGGCCACGGTTCTAGCCCAGCTCTGCTGTGTAACCTTGGGCAAGTTGCTTAACCTTCACGTGTTCGTTTCCTCGTCTGTCAAATAATATCCAGCTCAAGTCAACCCCATAAATAGGAGGAGCCAGTTACATAAAGCAGGTGAAGGTTCTCGGAGCACAAAACACACACCCCGCAAAGAATGGAGAAGCGAGCAGGGACCGGAAGCCAGGCGGAGTTCTCTTCCTGGACCAGCAGGAAGCCTCGGCAGTCCTGGCCGGACCAACCAGGGAAAGGCCAGACTCCTCTGTCAGTGGCCCCTTATCTGCTGGCTGCCAAGTCCACATCAAAGGATTTAGAAATTGCTCCCTTATGGGGATGCAACTTTGACCGTGACATTGTCTTTATTCCTAGCAGCTCCTGTTTCCTCCACATAGGGCTGCCTCTGTGATTTCATAGATCTGGGATTCCAGAATGGGGTGGGTGGTGGACTGTCCCCATCACCGAGGCCAGGAGGCCTGGGGCAGGTTCATGCTCACCTTCCTGCCCGGCCCTGTGGGCACCTGTGTTTCGTAACTCGGTGAGGGACGGAATGTTGGATGAGCTGAGGGGCTAAGTAGAAGGGGCTGGATGCACGCTAGCCTCTCTAAGAGGGGGATCTGCCCCTGCTGTCCTTGCAGGGACGTGCCAAGTACCCAAACACGCAGGGGAGGGCTGTAACTCCGGGGAAGCCTGAAAGCAGGATGGAGCCAGCCAGCTGCTCTGCTCAGAACAGCCGCAAAGAGGCCAAGGGAGGGAGGGCTGAACTCATTGGACCGGAAGGAAATTTCCACCCTGAGCCCCCACGGCACCCAAATGTCACTCAGTCACTGTGGCCTTTGCACGTGGTGAATGAGACACTGCAGGGGCGGATGGGCGACCACGAAGGGGGCACAGCCACATGTTCCCACAGGAGAGGGAGGTGCTGGGGTGGGAGGAGAGAGGGGGAGAGCAGAGGTGACACCAGAGAGCAGGGGTGGAGGGTAGAAGAGGTGGACAGCCATGGTCAAGGGTCCATGTGTAAGCCAAGGAGGAAGCCGCAGCAGGATGACCGTGGAGATGCGGCTAGGAAATCAGAGAGATGAATCCCAGAGATGGACAAAAACCAAGAGTTGATATCTGGAGCTCCATTTGCTCATTCAACGAAGGTTTAAGACCACAGGCTACGTCCCTTCCTGGGGGGCTCTCAGGCGGGGGTGGGGCACCAGCAAGACATCAGAATGACTAGGGCAGGCTACGGCAGGGGACATGGGTGGTGCCCCTCGGTACGGGCGGCAGTGGGTGGGGGCAGTCCTAGAACAGGTGACAGGGAGGGAAGATGGTGCAGCCCTGCCAAGGCGAGGCCATGCTCCTCTCCAGATGAGGAAACTGAGGCTCAGAGGGTTAAGGAGTCTGTCACTACAAAATATACCCAAAGGAGGCCCAGGCTTTCTTAGGGGGGACCCCGGCAGGGCCTCCCTCCACTGTGGGCACTGAAGTTTCTTGCCCTGGGTGACCCCTGCCACGGACCAGGCCCAGGGCAAAATGCATTCTTTGTGGCTTCTCCAGAACCCACAAGGGCCCTGCAATCCTGAAGCCCCAGGCCCAAAGGGACTGGACAATGGGCCACAGTGAGTGGAGCCCTGAAGACACCCATTTTTTCATCTAGCTTTGCACTCCAGGGCTCTGGAGCCTGAGCGCCCAGGGGGTCTTCCTGGCTAGCTGTGTGCCCCTGAACAAATGCTTCAACCTCTCTGGGCCTCAATGTCCTCATCTGTAAAACATAATAGTTCTTAATATCATATTTAATATTATATAGTAACTTATATAATATACAAGAAACTAATATGTAACTATGTGATAATACATGTATAAATATATTTAATTATATATAAATAAATATAAACGTATACATGAATATATAAATATTTAATTATTTATATTTAATTATAAATATTTAAATATATGTTTATTTATATATTATAACATATAGGAAAACTCCCTTCCTAGATATCAGGGACTCGAAGGACAAGCTGGGATTGTATAGAAGGAAGGGTATTCCCGGGGAAAGAACCCACATGGGCAAAGGTAGGCAAGATTCTCTGGGGTCAGAGAAATGAAAGAGGTCTGTGGCTCCGTGTTGCACCCGAGGTGGGGTAGGGAGACATGGCTGGCAGGTGACAGAGAGCTGGAGGTGGGGGGCGGCAGGGAAGGAAGCCAGGTGGGTTCCCGCCTCTCACCTGAGCTGCCGGAGCTGGCCCGGGCCTCCCCAGACCCATTGGCCTTCTCGGCGCCTGGTGCCGGCGGCGGGGTCCTGGCGGGCGTCCCCCTGTCTGCGGTGCTGGCTGAGCTCTCCAGGGAGCTGCTGCTGGAGCTGGGGGCGGTGGTCAGTAGGTGCTGCTGCTCTGCCCCCTGGGCACCTCGGGCGTTATCAGCGGGCAGGTGAGGCTGGACGGGCGGGAGCAAGGGAGCGCGGTCAGCCGGCTCCTCTTGCCGTGTCCCTCCCTCTCAGCCACCTGCCCCTGTGATGTCAGCGTTGCGGTTGATGCCGCGCCCCTGCCCACGCGGGCACGGTGCCCCCACACACGGTGCTTTGAGGACGGTGGGATTCTGCACGGTTTCTGCGATCAGCACCTGGCTGGCCTACGGGAGCATGAGCCAAGGAGGGTGGGCCCGTGCGGCCCTGTCCACCGAACCATCCTGGAAGTGGGGCCAGGCCTTTCACTCTCATTTTGCATCAGGGAAACAGAGGCCCGGAGAAGGAGAGTGACTCTCCTAAGGTCGCTCCAGCGACACAGGGTGACGTGGCCCAGCCTAGCAGCCGAGAGCGCAGACTCCGGACAGACAAGCACACGTGGGTACAAATCATGGCTCCTTCACTTACTTTGCTGTGTGACCGGGACAAGTGCCCTAGCCCTTCTGTGCCTCCTTTCTTTCATATTATCGGGGGAGCATTAAAAACCTACCTCCTAGGGTTGTTGCAAAGAGTAAATGGCTGACTACTTGCCACGTGCTCAGAACCAGGCCTGGTCCACAGTGAAGGCCTGGGCACGGGTTCCCTACATGAGGGCTCGGCACACGTACCACCACGGGCCTGCTGCTGTTTTTTGCACGTACAGGACACAAGCCAAGAAGGCGTCTTATATTTTTTAAACGGTTGGGAAAATGTTTAAATAATATTTTGTGACTTGCAAAATGTTATGACGCGCAAGTGTTAGTGTCCGTACACGGCCCCTTGCACTGGCTGACGTGTGTGGCTTTCCTCCTCCGGCGCCAGGCTTGAGTAGCTACGACAGAGACCGTACGATCCAGAAAGCCTGAAATATTTGCCATCTGGCCCTTCGTGGACAATGTCTGCTGGCCCTTGCGTTCGATCGATCAATGCGGTGTAGACAGCCCTTGCTTAAGACCCTCAGCCGTGGGGTGCCGGCCAGCCTTTCCAGATTCCACTCCCCAAGCCTGCCCTGTGACTGCGCCTCCTACCTCTTCCCACAGAAGAACACGAATAACAGCAACCATAATAATAAAGTGCTAGCCAGTATCTGAGGGCCATCCAGTGCCAAGGGGCTGAAGTCCTTCGAAGACTCTATCTTGAAACTTCCAACTCTGCCAGTGTTGGCAGAGGAAGGACCCGAGGTCCAGACAGGTTGAGTTCTTTGTCCAATGTCACACAGTCAAGGCATGGTATAGGTGGGCTAAAATCGTGACCCCCTTCCTGAATGTCTGGGTTTTCGGCTCTGGAGGCTCAAGACAATGAGGTGCTAGGTTCCAGGCACCCCCGCTGGGAAGCACATCAGAGCCTGTGGCCGGTCCACACCACCTGAACCGGCACACAAGCACTCCTTGCCTTGGGGTTCTTGCTGATTGCTGGATCCCAGAAAAAAGGGAGACAGAAGGGCCCACGTTCTCATTTGCTGCCCTTGGCCCCCGGCCTGTGCAGGATGCAAGGGTCCAGTTGGGATGGCAACAAGACAAATGAAGGGCTGGGGGGGGATGCGGCCAGGAGGACAGAAGAGGAAGGAGGAGGTGAGGGTCAAGACGGCAAGCCTCTGCCATAGGGATGGGGGCATGTCAGCCCCTACTCCCCAGGAAAGGCTGTGACCCCTTGGCCTTGCTCCTGCTCCCCGGGCTCCCCAGGGAGCAACAATTTTAAGTGTGCTCTGGGCAGCCAACTCACTCTGGCCAACCCTCAGCCCCCAGCCCAGCCTACCAGGGCTACAGCCTCTCCCACAAATGAGCCTGCCCCAGCCCTCAATTCCCTGAGGATGGCCCACTGTCATCAGACTGAAGGATCTTTTTTATAGGCTGTCCCTGGAGGACACTGAGTCCCAGAGAGGGTGAGTCCCCGGCTCCGTATCACAGGGCTCGTCTGGTCCGTGGCAGAGGCACAATGAATCAGTGTAACAGAGATGCTGCCTTCCTGGTTTACAGCCCCTGGCTTTGGAGGGATGGAGGGCATTTCAAGTGCAGACCGAACCTTTGCCCAGGTGGTCTGACTTAGGCCACTGGACAGCACTCTAACCTTGCTCCGACTTGGACGGGGAGGAGAAGGAGGGACAGGAGGGGCATTCAAATGTCACTTCTCACTACCTCACTACCTCCAAAGAAGGGACTTTTGGGGCCAGTACCCTGCTCCTCTGCTCGTGGCTAGGGCTGGAAAGAACAGGAACCCCCAAAGGTCACAGTCCGCCTCCTTCCCCCAAAGCCACAAGTAGCAAAGTTCAAGTAGGCTCTGAGCGGGGAAGATGGATCCTGAGTTCGCCGCTTGGGCCGGGCGGGGAGTACTGAAGAGGCTCGATCAAAAACACAGGACTGCAGACAGCCAGCCCCGATCATGGCCCAGCCCCACCATGGGCAGGACAGAGCCACCAGCCAGGCCCTCCAGAGTCCCACGGCTTCCATGTTTGTCTGTGCGAGCATGTGCTCATGAGGCTCACATCTGTATGTACAGGTGTAGGGTTGGGGGGTGTGAAGGGTGCATATGCACCTGTCTATGGCGGGGAGGGGTACATATCTGTGAGTGGTAAGTTCATGTGTGTGCTGGGGCTGGTGAGGAGAGGCCCTCCTAGGCTGGTGTGTCAGGCCACTCTCATCAGCTGTGTGACCTTGGGAAAGTTCCTGAACTTCTCTGAGCCCAAATTTCCTAGGCAAGACACCTGGGGCAATAATCATTCCGCCTGGGTCGTAGCCTGGGCTGTGAGACTCAACAGTGCTCCACGCGGTGCCTGGCCCACGCTCGGCGCCTCACAAACATTCACTCTCCTGTGAAACGTGAGCCCTGCAGGGGCGCGTCTATGAGAGTGATTGTGAGCAAGCTCACACGCGTGGATCTGCCTGCCTCTTCCAAACGGAGGGAAGCCTCTGTCCCTCGCGGAGCCTTGGTGTTACCCCTGCGGCAGGAGGGACAGGAGGCACAGGGTCTCTGCACTCCCCACCCAGCCCCCAAGCAGGGACAGTGGCCCACCGCCGAGGAAGAGCTGGGCACCAGCTAAGCGTGAGGGCACAGATGGGAGCGGGGGCAGCAGAGCGCCCCAGCGGGGGTGGGGCAGGCCCACCCTAGGGGCAGGCAGCCGCCTGCAGATTCCCATGGAGCTTGCAAAACCCGGGCTCAGCCACTCACCCAGGCGTCTAACCTTACATGGGTCCCGGACCCTCCCTGGGTTCATCTCCTGGGCTGCAACATGCAATCGTGGTGGGGCTTCCCTCCCGGGGGTGCATGGGGGTGCAGGCGAAGGGCCTGGCGGGGCTCCCGGGCTGCTTCCCCGCTGAGTAGTGAGGAAGCTCTCGGGAGCCTGAGCCCGGTCACGGTGGGAACCGCGGCAGTGGTGCGAGCAAACACCACCCATCAGGGTCTGGGTTTGTTGGGTTTTTTTTAGCAGCCCAGAGAGCCGGTTACCAGCACACCGCTGGGCTCTTCACTCAACCACACTCAGCAAATAATGGAGTTATTCTCAGTGAACATGAAACTCAGGGAACGGAAAGGGGAAGTGGAGGCCACAGGGCCACGCCCGAGACACGTTTGCTGCCTCGATTGCTGGGAAACGCTTGGTGGGGACATAGGCTGCAGAAGCTGGGTGGCTGTCAGGAGCCCGGGGGGAGCCCTTGCTCTGCACCCCGCCAGGCAGCAGCTGTCAGTGCCCCTGAACCAAAACCAGAGGAGAGGAAGGTGTGGCCTTTGAAGGGGGGGGGTTGGTCTGAGAAACCGTGTGCACTTCCAAGCCCCTATGTTTGTCTGCAGCAACACCGCAGGGATACACACTGCTGTGTGACCTTGGGCAGGTCACGTTCCCCCTCTGCACTTCTTTTCCTGCCGGCAACTTCGGGAGCTGAGATCAGTCTCTGCTCCCTCCCAAGGCCAATTCCCTGCGTAAACCTTGTGCTCTGGGCCACCAAGGGCGGAGCATTTCCCTAGCACTGGTGGTTCTCCATCAGGGGCGATTCTGGCCTCCAGGCGACACTTAAGCAATATCTGGAGACAATTTCAGCTGTCACTCCTGAGAAACGACCAGTGATATTGGCGAACAGCCCCCAGGGCACAGGACAGCTCCCCCCAACCCCCCAAACCCCCATGACAAAGAATTATCTGGCCCCAGATATTAAAATGGCTGAAGTTGAGAGACCTTGCCCAAGCAGGACTGGGGACTTGGAGGGAGCTCCTCAGACTCTATTTCCTCACCTGTAAAGTGGGTAAAAAAAAAACCTCCCCTGACTACCAGGTGGAGGTCACAGCAGACACTGCCCTGACTCATCCGGCACCCATTCCCGAGCCCTGTCCCTCCCCTCCTCCCCCACAGAGGCTGGGAACCTCCAGGGGTGATCCCATGGCAGGGCTCTGGCCAATAAGAAAAGAGAAGCCCACCCAGGGCTCCGGGGACAGTTCCTGACCTCCTGACCACTGCTGGCCTGGCCACGTTCCCCTCTTCTTTCTGCCTCAGACCCGAAGGTCACATCCAGAGTGGGGCCCGCGATCTCTCAAGGTAAGGCCACAAGCAAGAGAACAGAAGCCAACACGTGGAAGGGGGCAGAGCCTGGGGTCCTGCGGGCCTCACAGAAGGATGCACCTGAATGGTGCCAGCAGCTGACAACCCCTCGACTCTCTGGGAGGTGAAAAAAACAAATCCCCCTTTGCTTTAAGTCACTTGCAACCGAATGTCATCCTGAGGAGAAACCGATGAGCTACCATGCCAGTGTTCTAGCAAAATCCTCACAGACCTCACTTTAGAAAGAAAGATCCAAGGCGAGCTGCTTTGGTCGGAGCAGAGCACAGGACGCAGGGCCCCAACCCCAACCCTCAACCCCGGATACGACCCCCTCCCAGGCCCAGTCTGGAAGTCCAGGGCACCCCCGCACGGCTCATGAAGGAGATGTCTGTGAGGCCTCAGGGAGATGCTGACAACTGCTGCCCCCAAGGGAGCCGCACAGCCCTTGCATGGGGCTGAGCAGACACTGTCCCCTTCCAAAGGGGAGGAGACAAATCATGAGTAATTTCACATCTGCCCAGCATCACAACAGGGGTCCGCGACCAGGTGCGTGACAACGACACCAATGACCTCCTGCTCTCTGATGGGGTGCTTCACATGCACACTCTCGTTTAGCCCAGGAAGGGCTGCCTAACCCCCAAGGACACACACACTAGCTGGCCTTTCCTCGGTCCCTCAGGGCTGGACACCACCTCACACCAGACCGACCGGCCAACCTTCAGAACTCACTTCCCACACGGCCCACCAGGAGGGAGACCAGGGGAGGAGGGGAGATGCAGAGGGACACTTACCACTTTGGCTTCTCCTTGTAGGCAGAAGGGCCTCTCTGTAAAGAAGAGAGAGGGGACAAGTCAGGGAGAGCGGCTTCCTCAGGCCACACCTGCTCTAACGAGGAGGGCAGCATGGGGCCCAAGTAGAACCATTCAGAGTAGGCCCAGCCCCGGGCAGCAGCAATCACCCACCAGACAAGGTACACAGAAGCCCCCGTCCCAGCTCCCCAGCTGACCCAACCCTGTCCCATTCCCCTCCACCACACCCAACTGTTCTCTAGCGTCCCCCTCTTTGCTCACGCCATGCCCTCTCCTTAGTGTGCCTTCTTTGTCCTGCACACGTCTTCCCATGGAAATCTGACCCAGCCCCGATGCCACCTACTCCAGAAGGCCGGGGGAGATCCCCCAGGACTTCCAGACAAGAATCCCAGACTGCTACCCGCTTGCATTGCCCAGATGGCATCCTGCCTCCTAGTAGGTAAGTGAGCGGCAAAGCCTTCTGCCCACCCCTGGGCTCCCACGGGACCAGGACTGCCGTGTCCAGGTGTGTTTGACCCACACAGCTGAGCCCGGTGCTGGACTCACGGGAGGAGCCCCAGGAAAGCTTCCAGAGCAAATGGATGAACATATGAAAGAGGAAGGCATGAAAACCTACTCTTTTTCTGGGTCACGATGACACAGTTCACCAGCCCTATCATCAGCAGACCCAAGGCTGTCACGCCTACGATCAGTCCTAGAAAGAAAAAGAGAAGCTCGAGGCAGCTGCAGAAAGCAAACTCAAACACACCAGGGCCCAGGCAGCCAAGTCCATGACCGAAGATGTCTGGGATGCCACAGTGGGGTAAGCCCAGGCCGGGGTCTCTCAAATTCCATTACAAGACCAACAAGCCAATAACTTCATACCAAACGAAACATGTCTATTGGCTGCATCAAGCGCCCAGGGCACCACTTTGAGATCCATGGCCTGCTGGAGTCCTAACCCCAGAAGGGAAACCTGTGAGGTGACCTGGCCCAGCCCACCAGCTAATGAGTTCATCAGAAACGGCAACCAGGAGACCATCTCCCCTTGCAGATAAAACGCTGACACCCCCTGACCCCCACCAGCTGTCCTCAGTGACAGCACCAGGTCTTGGCAGAAGACAGGTCTCACCAACACCCACCTCCCGGGACAGAGGACAAGGTCCAGCCTGCAGAGGGCACTCAGTAAGACTCAGATAGTAGAGCGGCTGAACAAGCCCTCTTGGGACTTACCAATTGGAAGAGAGATGTCGCCAGTGCTGAGCCCTTCGGTGGGGGGGCTCGGAACCATCGGCAACAGAACGGAGGTGCTAGGAGCCATGCTGGGCCCTGGAGTTGGCCCCGTGCGCTGGGATCGCGTGGGCCCTGGCTGGGACGTGGAGGCCGGGGGTGTGGCCGTTCCCGGGCTGGGGGGCACGGAGGTGCACACTGCATCCATGCTGGCATTGCCCGGGATGGCCACCGAGCTACAGCTGGGGGAGGAGGAGGTTTGCTTAGACGACAACAGAGGCCAGAAGGGCTCAGCGTGGCTGGGCCCGCTCACGGGAGACAGACCAGCCAACAAGGAGTCCCAGCAGCCAGGATGCAGGAGAGAGTACTGGTGCCACCCCGCCCCCTAAGAACCGCCCCTTTCTGTCCCCCACCCCCAGGCTGCCCCATGGCCCCCACCCGGTGCTGACTTCCAAGCCAAGGCTGCTATACACCTGCTGGCTGAGCTAGGACCCGCCCACCAGCCCACTATGGGTGGAGCCATCCCCGATGAGAATAAGGCTCCCCAGGGCTTCGACCCCAGGCAGTGAATGGGGGGGGGGTGTATTTCAGGACCCACGCCAGGGCTGCTCTCTGCGCTAGACCACACGGTCCCCCCGGGGCCGCCCTCTCAGCGCCTGCAGAACCCCGCGACTCAGCCACTCACATCTGGTGGGGCCTGCAAGTGTCCGTGGATGATGTCGTGTTGGAGAAGGTCCCGGGGGCACAGGGAGTGCACACCACGTCTGAAGTGTCCGTTCCTTCAGGGAAAGAGCAGAACCCGTCACCAACCCAGACTCTCAGTAGAACGAGTGGGCCTCGGCACGGGCACCCTGGGAGAAGTCTGAGGGACCTACGGACCTCGGTCTGCACCTCTGCCCCTTGAAACACACACGTGAGCATGTGCGTGCGCGCGCACACACACACACACACACACAGCTGGGAAGTTTGTTCTTTAACCAATTCTAGTGACGTCCTGGTCTCCAGGATCATGTGGGTTCATCTTCTGGGGCACCGCCTGGTTTTCCAGGAACTTTGGGCTTAATCTGATCCCTCTCTGGACCCCCCAAAGCTGAGCACACAGTAGGTCCCTAATCCCGCGTGCTGGAGGAAAGAACACGAGGGGGAGGGCTGGACAGCCGGCTGGGTAGCCAGCACCTGGCCACAACTGCCCATGATCCCGGGCGGGGCTGTCTCGCTGACACCCATGCGGGAGAGGCCCCCGGGGGATCCTGAGGACCGCTGGCCCTGCCCACATACCTGGTGTGTCCACGCCAAAGCCCGGGCGGCACCTGCTCAGGGTCGCACACAGCCGGCACCCCTCCTGCCTCGGCAGTGTGCAGTACGAGCCCGGTCTGCAGGTGCAGATCCGGTTCTGCTCCCGAGTGCAGGCCTGGGTCTCCACTTGGTCTGCAAGAGCCAGAAGGCCACCCAGGGTCATCCCTGCCTCCACCAGCCCCGCCCACCACATGCCCACTCCACCCACCACCCCCCCAGCTGGGTCCTGGAGAGCTCTGCTCCCCGACAGGCTGGCGCAGTGCCCCCCCCACCAACCCATAGCAGGGGCAGAAAGAACACCAGCTGTGCAGTCCCAACACCTGCGGTCTTTCTCCATCTCCATGAGCAAGCGCACCTGATCTCCAGGGCATGGGTTCCTTAGCTCTAAAATGGGCACAGTTCTCTCCCTGCTACCCTCGGCCTCTCTGCCCATGGTGCTGTTGGACAGGATTGGATGAGACAGAGGGTGAAAATGCCATGGGGGGGGGTGCCTGGATGCCTCAGACAGTTAAGCGTCTGCCTACAGCTCAGATCGTGATCCCAGGGTCCTGGGATCAAGCCCCACATCAGGCTCCCTGCTCAGCAGGGAGTCTGCTTCTCCCTCTCCCTCTGTCTCTTCCTCCCACTTGCTCTCTATCTCTCAAATAAATAAATCTTTAAAAAGAGAGAGAAAAATAAAATGCCATTGGTGAACAGGGAAGGGCTGTACCCTTACAACCTCATGCTCTAGGGCACGAAGACAGCTGACCTGGGGGAATCCTAGCCAGCGTTCAGCTGGAGGGGCTGGGCTGCACAGCGGCCAGGGGAAGGTTCCAGGGCTCGGCCCGCTCTCTGCGCCCACTCACCAGCGCTGCAGCGGGAGTCACAGCTCAAGCACTCGGGAACCCAGTTCCAGAGCTGGGTGTATGTGCTGTTCTCGCAGCGGGCACACACGGTATCTGAGGTATTGGTGCAGAACGATCGTACATGGAAGCCTGAGGAAGCAAGGGCCAGAGGTCAGTGGCTCATCCACCACCACCCCCTGCCCGGAGCCCCAGCATCCTGAAGCCTGGGTGTGGAGGCTCTTTGAAAGCGTTCCTGTCCTTCACCGACTCATCTCGCATCTTGTGGGCCCCAGCTGTCCCTCCATGGCCAAAGCCCTGATGCTCATAAAATGCCTTTTCCTCTGCTCTTTCCAGATGGCTGGGGTTCCACCATTGGAACTGTCTATTGCTAGTCAATCACACTTTAGTGAGAACTGGTTTGCTAGCTCCTTTCTTCTTTATCACTGGCTAAAATTCTCCACCTGTGGGTGTGAACTACAACGACTAGAGGGAACGCAGTCCCTGGTTTCCCATCGACAATGAGGGCATGGGTCTCTTGCAGGCCTGGACAGAAGGCATGCCAGGAGATGGGAGAACGCTAAAGCAAAGCTTTAAGGAGTTTCTCTCTTGAGCCTGGAGCACTATCCTGCCACATTCACCGTTGTGCTAATCCAGTAACTTCTTACCTTAACCCTACCAGTTAACAGGAAAAGGAGTCACTTGTGAGGTCTCTTAAATTGGCCATGGGCAATGACAGATACACATACGCCTGCCCACACCTCAGGCTAATGGCTCAAGGGCCCTCCAATGGCTTCCTAGCTTCTGAATCTAAACTCTTACTGTGGCCCCTGCTAACTTACTGTCTCTAGGCCACACGCTGGCCTCACTGTTCCTCAAGTTCCCCAAACAGGCTCTCACCTCAGGGCCTTTGCACTTGCTGCTTCTCCAACCTGGCAGGCTGTTCCCTGTGTATTTGTATGACCCACTCCCTCACCTCCTGCATGTCTCTGCCCAAGGGTTGGCTCTTCAGAAAGGCCCTCCCTGACCACCCTGTACCAAAAAGCATGTCCTCCTCCGTCTGTCTCCATTGGCTTTACCCTGCCCCGTTTTTTTCACAGCATTCACTCTGGATAAGACCACACATCTATTTCCTCTGTTGGCTTCTCTGCCTGTGCCTCTATTAGATGCAAAATCCATGAGTGTGAGGATTTTGTCTGCTCTGCTCTCTGCCGGACTCCCAACACTTAGAACAGTGCCTGGCACTTAGATGGTGCTTCATAAATGGTACAGGAATGCGGGTATCAGTGAACAAGTAGACAGATGACACGAGCAGTTGAGCTACTCAGCTCTCCCAGCTGGGGTCGGGCTTCAGGCCCACCATCTATGCAACGGGTAAGCTCGCATCGATTCAGTCAGGTATGTACTGAGCACCCACTATGTGCCAGGCGCTGGGGATTCCGCGGAGAACTAGCCCACGGCCCCTGTCCCAAGGGAGGACGCTGTGGAGGTGACAAGAGAGGACCCAAGCCATGACTGCTGGCTGGAGAGCTGCTGCTATGGGGGATGCCCGGGGGCCCGTGGGAGCTTATGGGAGGGGCCAGATCCAACCAGGCAGTGTGGGCAATCTTCCTGGAGGAAGGTACATCTAAGCTGAGGTCTACAGGAAAAGCAGGAGTTCACCTGGGGAAAGGAGTTGGGAATTAGGCCAGGAAGAGGGAGCAGAATGTGCCAAGGCCCTGAAGCAAGAGGCAGCAAGGGACCATCTCATGGCACTAAAAGGAATTCAGCTCAAACGGTCAGTTAGGACCCTACCCTGATCCCTGCAAGGCCCCCATCCCCAGGGCCCCAGGCGTCCAGGAGTCAGGGCCCCAGGCTGCCCTCACCCGGCGCACACTTGCTGCAGCACATCCGGGCCCTCTTGTTGAAGTACTCTCTGTGCCCGCAGTCACTTCCAGGCTCTGGAGCATAGGGGAGCGATGGCACCTGGAGGGGAAGGGAAGGACGGCCATCAGCACAGCCACCCCTGGATCCTGTCACCCCTAACACCACAGGATGGAGGTCCTGGGGCCTGCGAGCGTTTGGCCTTCTTCCTGTTGGGGCTCTCCTGATGTGGAGACGTCTCCCTTGGAGGGGAAGGTAAACAGGAGATTCCCCACCTTCTTTCCCTGCCTCTTCTCCCCGCCTCACAGTCACACATGCATGTCTGCTGGTGGGGGCACCGAGCCAGATGGCCGGAGCATGCGGCTAGTTCTTCTGACACTCCAGGGGACAGGGGTGGGGCCGCAAGGCTGCCCAGAAGGCAACGGCTTCAGTCACAGAGGACCACGGTGCCTAGCACAAAGCGGCCCTCTGCCTAGGATGCCTCCTTCTCCCTCCTGCACCTGGGAATCACCCCCTTGGTGCTTCCAGCTGAGTGCGGCCTCCTCTGGGAAGCCCTCCCTGATTCCTCCAAGCTGTGGCAGGTTCCTCCCCACTCTGGGCTCTCTCTGAACACTGGATATGGCCCCTTCGGGCAATCGGCTCATTATGCTGAAGTGGGGTGGGGGGTGCGTGTGCACCAGCACATGTGTGCACACGTACATGCACGTGTGCATACATACACGCACGCACCACAAACAACTGTGACGCAGGAGCAGAAACAACGGCCTCATCCTCTCTAGACCCCGACATGGGGCCCACACAGAGTCGGGGCTCCGTAGATGAATGCTGGTCGATGACAACAATGACAACAGTGACCATGCCTTGAGCACTTACGAGAGCGCCAGGTGCTGACCCAAGCCCTCCAGGTGCTCTAGGCAGTGAATGCCACTGAATGCCCCTCGGGTCCCCTTGTAGCAGGAAGGCGTCCAGCCCCCAGCCGCCCATGCTGCCCAGGAAGGGGCCCGGCCTCCCTGAGGGACTGACACTGTGTACAGTTCATGCCCCAGAGACACCCCCCAACCCCGGGAGTCATGCCTGCCAGAGCCTGTGCTGGACCCTGCAGGGAGGGCGAGCGGGCTGGCAGGGACTGCCACAACCACCCTGACCACCCATGGCTTGGGGCCAATGGCTGGAAGTCTTGGGGCATGCGGAGATGACCCCCAGGGTGGGGGATCCCTGTGACACAGCGATCTGTGTCTCTTCCTGCCCACACGCCTTGGCCCAAACGGCCTCCTCCGCCCAGAACAGCTTCACGTTTCCTCGGACAAAATTCCGTGTATCTCTTCTGCCGGCAGCCCCCCTTGAAGGCTCCCCAGCCCACACCCCATCCTGAATCATCACTCAGACCCAGAATCCCAGCCTCCTTCTCCAGGGCTCCTGTCACCCGGGGCTATGCCCCCACTAGCTGGGTGTCCTCTGAGCCTGCGGGTTGGGCGTAGCTTGGTTATTACCCCGAAGCCTGGCACATAGTAGGTGTTCAGGCCTCACTACCCTAAGCAGTGGGCTTCATTACAAGGTCATTCTGCAAGGGGTCCAATCCCGCCCCAGGCCACACTGGCCTGGCCCTGCAGCCCACCCTCCATCCCGGAGCCAGGGCCAAACCCCCTCCAGTGAGGCTGGGAAAGACACAGGGGGCTTGCAAGGGAAGTGGGAACCATTCTGCACAACACAGAGCCTAAAAATGTAACCTCCATTCCCACCGGGACTACAAGCTGGCACGCCCGTGGCGCGCACACACACACACACACACACACACACACAATCCCAGTGCTTCTTCCTTCCCCATTTGGTCCTAGAGCCGGCTGGACAAAAGGGGAAGGAAGCAAGGTCCCTTATCAGGGCTCCTCACGGCTGGGGGTGAGGCTCACTGTCAGAGTCTGAAACACCTGGGCCAACCATGTTCCTAATGACCCGCACCCCAACAGATGGGGCAGAAGCTCAGGGAGTGGGCCCAGAAGCTGTTCCACTACAGGAAGAAAGGAAGAAAAAGAGCCTCCACCCCCAAGTGATTCTGATGCCTCACTGCTGCACACACCCGACTCCCTGGCACCCAGGCATGGAGCGAGATGACCTGCAGGGGGCGGGGGGGCACAGACAGGAGACCCAGAGACCAAAGGCCAGGGGAGCCCCTGAGCCCGAGAAATCATACCTTCTGCAGCCCCCTTTCTACACATGATTCAACCACACACCAACAGCAGCGGGGGGCCTGACTGTCCCCCACAGCCCCCCAAGATGGGCTTCCCTGCAGGCTGTGGCTTATGCGGCTTCCCGAAGGGAAGGGGCTGTGTCTCTCCCTCCAGCTGAGCACCCCAGAGGCAGCTGCCTGTCCCCAGAGAGCAGGGAGGGCTCTACCTCCTTCTCTTGCAGACCCCTTGCAGGCCACCTGACCCATCACGCCGTGGGCTTCATCGCCACCGGACCCTGGGCAGTATCTAGGGAGGCCCCTCACTCGCGTGGGGCCGATAAACACCGGGCCGGTGCAGCTCCAACAGGCAGAGAGAAACCCTCACCCTCAGAGCAGCTCCTGGGGTGCAGTCCTGGAAGGCCTGCCCTGGCCGGGGTGGGGGGAGGATTTCCTGTCAGGGTCCAAAAGGCCTGATGGGAAAGGGCCCTGCCCTGGCCAAGTCCATGTTCTCTCTCCACCCACAGGCCAAGGGTTCCTGGACAAAGGCAGCAGGACCCCCACAGTCTGCCCCCCTCACACAGCCCCCCCAGGCCACTGCCCAGAGGTCTCCCCTCCAGGGCCTTTTCCAGTCACAATCTCGTTATGAATGCCCTTCCCTATCTTCCTCCTGCTGCTCTGTGTGATCCCAGAGCCCAGGGGCTGGCAGTGGGCAGGGGGGGGGGTCAGCCCTCCCTTGAGCAATCTCCAGGCTTGTTTATCCTCTCCGACAAGAGAAAAAAAACCACCAGCCACAGCCTTGTCATGGCTCAACAATGAGGAACAGAAAGCCCCTCTGCAGAGTGGGACAAAAGGTCACTCACTCCCTCTACTGTGGAGCTCCCCAGAGCAGAGGCCCTGCTGGCCCACGGCCCCAGGAGCTGGCCTCAGGCCACCTGAGGAGCCCCATGCGCCAGGGGTCTCCGGATGTCCCCAGAATGGGGCAAACGGGCTCTGGGGAATGCAGGGCTATGGAAGCTTCTAGATCCTCTGGCTGCTGTTGGGGAGGCTCAGACCCACATATCACCCACCCACAGGGAAGCTCTGACTGACATTTTAAAATGAGGAAATAAGTTGGATAGAACCTAATTTACTCAACAGTTTAGCAAACCCAATCTTCCAAAATGCAAGGTTCCCAGGTGAAAATCTGAAAATCACTGATGACGCTTAACCACTTTAACGGTGGGGGGGGGGGGGGCAATCCGTGACCCCGTGTGAGGATGGGGGACTGGAGAGAAGATGGATGGATGGGTGGATGGGAAAATGGACGGATGGGATAGTAAATACGGGGCAGAAAGGAAACTAGATGAAAGGAAGGAGGAAGATAGGGAGTTAGGGGAGGGAGGAGAGGGGTGGGGAAGGAGGGAAGGAGGGTGGGAAGGGAGGGAGGGCCTATCTAACACACAGTGTTATGAGGCACCCCTGATTGTGTGGAATAGAGACCAAAAGAAGCAAAGCCACCTCCCTGGTCTCCCAAAAGTTCTAGGCCATTCCCAGGCCTAGCTGGTGGCAGGCTTACAGAGGACCATGAGCAAGGAGGCCATCAGGGCCCCCCTCGTCCACCCTCACATCAGGGTTGCATCTGCCTTTCCTCTGCTCAACATGCCCCCCACCCCCGGACAGGGCGGACTGACACCTGCCATCTCCCAGGACCAACTGTTCAAGGCACCAGATGCATGGCCGCACGGGGTCTCCCCTCGGACCCTCCCAGCCGCCCAGAGGGGAAGTGCCTAGAGGGGAGGTGACAAGAGGTGAAGCACACCACTCCTCGCCCATCCTCTTCTGCCTCCCTTCCTGTGGGGGGCCCCCAGATCATGGGGCCCAAGCTTCCCCTGCCCCTTGACACAGACCTGGGACCCCAGGAGCCCCCCAAACTCAACACTCCCTCCCGCCACGTGGCCTCCATCAGTCCTCCAGTTTCTCAGCTCTGGCCTTTGGAGGAGGCAGGAAAACAACAGGATCTTCGTCAAACACCTACTTTGTGCCAAGCACCTACTGTGCGCCAAGCACCCACTCCCTACCTCTGCCCCCAAAATGCTGGTGGGCACATTCCCATCTCACAGCAGACCGAGATCAAGTCATTTGTCTGAGGTCATCCAAGAAGGGTGGGGTGGACTTGGGGTGTGACTCTTTTACTGGTCCCACTGGAGAAGTCCTCATCCCCTCCTCAGGACAACTGAAGGCGCCAGCTCCTCATCCCCGGGTCACGGCAGCGCCCTTGGCCCCCATTCATCTGCCTCCGTGCCATGCGGGGACCAGGGCCCCAGCTCACAGGAGTGCACAGTTTTTGTCTGTCACTCGGGCTCTCTTTCCTACACACCCCAGTGCGGGGGGACCCCTCTCGCCTCAGGCCACCATCCTCTGACCTCAGCCCTGACTTGGTTTCCAAGGAGAACCCCCGCCCCCAGCAGGAACCTCAGAACAGGCCGATCCTCTGCAGCAGGCAGGGGCAGCGGCCACCTGACACCGGGCTCCTCCTAGAACTGCCTGTGTCACGGGGCTCCCGAGAGGGTCCGTCCTTAGCCCCAGCTTTGCCAAGCGCTGGAAGGATGCATGGGAGCCCAGGAGAAGGAGGTCGGGGCCGAGAAGTGGGGGCAGGAAGGAGGTGTAGCCGCTGGGGGCCCGCAGGGGCCTCAGACACCACAGCGACCTCCCACTGAACGGTGGAGAAAGTCAGGGACAAAAGGGGGAATGTTCATTCATTCAACAGACGTAGGAAACACCCTCCTTCCAGGAGCTGCATTACTGCAATGACCCTATCCCAGTCTCCGCCTCGCCTGGGCCAGAAGGCGTGGGGAGGACGGGTGTGGTGTGTCGCAGGCCCGGCCAGGAGGAGGCCAGGAGGAGGCCAGGCAGCTAGCCAGGGTGCGGGCACAGGACACAGACACAGGCACAGGACACA